TTCTTCTGTCCTCCGCGGGCATTGCACGACATGGGTGCACTTACCTACATGTAGGCAATACACGCATACACATAAAATAAAAATAATAAATAAAATATTTTTAAAAATTATTAAAGAAGAGGTCTTACTATGTTGTTCAGACTGTTCTCAGACCCCTGGGCTCAAAGTGATCCCTACCTGCTCCAAGTAGCAGTGACGTGTGTGTACCATTGACACTCAGTTCTTAGGTACTTTAAAAAAATTTTAATTCATGTGTTTCTGTGTATTTATGCAGGGTGCCAAAGATGCCAGAAGAGGTTGTCAGATGCCCTGAGCTGGAGCTACAGGCAGTTGTAAGCTGCCCATCATGGGTGCTGAGAACTGAACTCAGGTCCTCTGGAAGAGCAGCATGTGTTCTTAACTGCTGAGTTCTCTTTCCAGCACCTCTTAGGTGCTCTTTAAATTATATAATTTCATTGCATATATGATTTTTGTTGTCATTGCTGTTATAATTGTGTTTTGCTTTTGAGACAGGGTCTTTCTTGTGTATCCCAGGCTGGCCTTGGACTTGATGAATGAGTGAATTTCCTGTCCTCCTTCCTCTACCTCCAGAGTGTTGGGATTACAGGCATGTGCCACCACTCCCAGTTCATGCTACCAACTGAGCCACATCCTAGCCCTGTGTAGAAATATCCATCAACTACTAAATGCAATGTTTCTGAGGGAAGAACCAGCTGAAAGACATGCCAAGGCATCTGGGAGTGCAACGGTCAGGGGCTGTTTCATGCTCCAATCCCTGCTTCCTGCATGAGTACCTGCGGCTGGGCTGATTGTGTCACAACAGCCCCCAGGTGCCCCCCTCCGCCCAGTCCATACTTGCGTCAAATACATGCAGCTTCACATCCTGCACAGGCTGGGCACCTCTCTCTCCTCCCCCAAAGACATATAACTGGTTTCCAATGGCTGCCGATGATGTGTGAAATGTTCTTGGGGATGGTGGAGGGCTGGTCACTTCCGGTGTGCTCCAAGTCCTAGTTTCTGGTCCAGAGAGAAGGCAAGCACTTAAAACACCCAGGCTGAGTGGCCTCTGACTTTGACTTTTAGTTTCTAGGTGCTAGGATTTCACCTAGGGCCTGAGGCATCCAAGCATGCACTCTACCATTGATCTGTATCTGCAGGTCCTGACCTTGACTCTTGGTAGGGCTTGACAGGGTCACCTTTGTACCCTTGTCTCTGAGGAGCACAGCACAGTTTTAAGAAGGGAGAACATACTACATAGTGAGTTCCAGACCAGCTGGGGCTACAGGGAGACCCTGTCTCAAAAAGACGAAAAAAAAAAAAATCTTTTTATGGGGCTGGAGAGATGGCTCAGCGGTTGAGAGCATTGACTGCTCTTGCAAAGGACCTGGGTTCGATTCCCAGCGCCCACATGGTGGCTATGAACTGTCCTTAACTACAGTTCCAGGGGAATCCGAAGCCCTCTCCTGACCTCCTCGGCACTGCACGACACAGGTGCACTCACATACATGCAGACAGTACACTCATACACATAAAATTTTTTAAAAAATAAAAAATTTTTTTGAATTTTTTATTGTTTTGTCTTTTTCAGACAGAGTCTCCTTGTAGCCCCAGCTGTCCTGGAACTTACTATGTAGACCAGGCTGGCCTCGAACTCACAAAGATCCACCTGCCTCTGCCTCCCAAGTGCTGGGATTAAAGACATAAGTTTTTTTTGTTTTGTTTTTGTTTTTCTGTTTTTTGGAGACAAGGTCTTCCTGTAGCCCAGCTGACCTGGAACTCACTTTGTAAACCAGGCTGGCCTTGAACCCACAGAGATCCCCATGCCTCTGCCTCCCAAGTGCTGGGATTAAAAGCGTGCATCACCACACCTGGCCTTAAAAAATAAATCTTCTAAAAAAGACTTTAAAAAAAATTTTATGTGTAATAGTGTTTTGCCTGCATGTATGTATGTGTACCACATATATGCCTGGTACCCACAGAGGCCAGAAGAGGGTGTTGGATCTCCTGGAACTGGAGTTACAGATGGTTGTGAACCATCATACAGGTTCTGGGAACCAAACCTATGTCCTATGTAATAGTAGCCAGTGCTCTTGACCACTGAGTCATCTCTCCAGCCTCAGTAAAGCTTTTTTAAATGAATGTTATAGAAACAGATGCATTAATTCAGCACTTTCTTCATGCAGGGTCATTACCCTGAACACTGTCACTTACCCTGTTCTCACTCACCCCGAGAGGTGTGTAGAAAGTCTGTTCACTTGGCAAAGGAGGAGAATGAAGATCAAAAACCTTTAAAATTTTTCTGTGTATGAGTAATTTTGCCTGCATGCATGTAAGTGCACCAAATTCATGCAGTGCCCAACTGGAAGTGGAGTTACAGGTAGTTGTGAGCCACCGAGTGCTGGGACCCAAATCAGAATCCTCTGCAAGAGTAACAAGTGATGTTAACTGCTCAGCCATTTCTCCAGACCCAAAGATCAAAAACCTTAAAGGCCTTCTGAAAAGCAGAGCAGGGGTCTGAACTCAGATCTGTCAGATTCCCATTCTCATTCTGCCCAAATTCACTGAATACGGGTTCTTACCTGGGAAATTCTGTGCCTTTTGTCAAAGATCTGCTTTTAATATACAAAATACCACAGGAGACATGGACAAGGTGTATGGAAACCACACATGAACCTGCAGACAGAATGATCCTCAGCCTATATCCAAGGCAAAATGTAACTATCTTCAAAGTTGCAGATCTTGGATAACTCTTGGGATCATAGCAGGAGTTAGAAGGCACACACGTCAAACTGGGCTTGGGTGACTCAAGTCTGTAATTCCAGCATGTGGAAGATGAGGTGGGAAGACTGTTAAAAACCTGCACTAGGGGCTGGAGAGATGGCTCAGCAGTTGAGAACACTGACTGCTCTTGCAGGGGACCCAGGTTCGATTCCCAGCACCCACATGGTGGCTACTAACCATCCTTAACTCCAGTTCCAGGGGAATCCGAAGCCCTCTTCTGACCTCCTTGGCATTGCACAACATGGGTGCACTCACATACATGCAGGCAACACACTCACACACATAAAATAAAAATTAAAAAAAAAACCAAAACCCTGCACTATACAGTAAGACCTCACCTATAAAATAAAATAAACAAAGAAATAAAGAAGTAAATTTCTTTGATGAAGCTTTCCAATGTTTGACTATATTCCTTTGTTTTTGTTTTCTTGAGACAAGGCATCCTTGTAGCCCCAGCTGGCCTGGAACTTGCTATGCAGACCAGGCTGGCCTTGAACTCAAAGAGATCCTCAAGCCTCTGCCTCCCAGGTGCTGGGATTAAAGGTGTGCACCACTATATTTTAAAAATCATTTATTGATTTATTTTTATTTCTAATTTTTTTCTTTATTATTTTTATTCTATGTGTACGCATGTATTGCCTGCATGTAGGTAAGTGCACTCATGTTATGCAATGCCTGAGGACAGAAGAGGCTGTCAGATCCCCTGGAACTGGAGTGATGGACAGTTGTTAGCTGCCATGTGGGTGCTGGGATTCGAACCCAGGTCTTCTGCAAGAACAACCAGTGTTCTTAACCGCTGAGCCATCTCTCCAGCCCTACTGATTTATTTTTATCTTATGAAGATGAGTGTTTTACCTGCATGTATGCAAATGTGCCTTGAGTTGTGCACCAGAACCCCTGGAACTGGAGTTATAGGCGCCTGTTAGGTATCATGTGGGAACTAAATCCTGTCCTTTGCAAGAGTAGCCATTGCTCTTAACTGCTGAGCCATGTCTCCAGCCCCACTACTGTATTTGTTTTTTCACTAATATATTTTAAAAATTAGAGCTGGGCATGGTGGCACATGCCTGTAGTCCCAGCACTTGGGAGGCAGAGGCAGGCAGATCTCTGTGAGTTCAAGGCCAGCCTGGTCTACATAGTGAGTTCCAGGACAGCTGGGGCTACAGAGAGACCCTGCTTCAAAAAAAGAACCCCCCCAAAAATTAGATGCTATTACCCAGAGTCAAAAGGACAGGTACCAACTGGGTGTGATGGCACATACTTGTGAATTGGTTTCCAGGCCAGTCCTATAAAGCAAGATCTTGTTTAAAAAAAAACCAAAAAACAAACCAGCACTTGGGAGGCAGATCTTTGTGAGTTCAAAAAAAAAAAAAAAAAAAAAGGAAATGTTCCAAACCAATTTCCTTTTTTTTTTTTTTTTTTTTTTTGGTCTTTTTGAGAAAGGGTCTCCCTATAAGCCCTGCTGGCCTGGAACTCACTATGTAGACCAGGCTGGCCTTGAACTCACAGAGATCCAGGACCTGCCTTTGCCTCCTGAGTGCCTGAGTGCTGGGACTATAGGTGTGCACCACCACACCTGGCTATTTGCACCACCATGCCTGGCTATTTTTAAAGATTTTTAAAAAATTGTGTGTGTGTATGTGTGTATGTGCACGCATGTGTGTGTCTGTGTCTGTGCACATGAGGATTGGTACCTATGAAGACCAGAGAAGCAGGAATTACAGGTAGTTGTGAACCACCTGATATGGGCACTGGGAACTGAACTCATGTCCTCTGGAAGAGCAGTACATGTTCTTAATTGAGCCATGTTGAGCCATCTCTCCAGCCCCTGATTTCCAATTGAGACAGGGTTTCCCTGTAGCTCCAGCTAGCCTGGAACTCATTATGTAGACCAGGCTGGCCTTGAACTCACAGAGATCCACATGCCTCTGCCTTCCGAGTGCTGGGACGAAAGGCGTGCACCACCATGCCCAGCTGATTTCCATTTTTTAAAATTATACCTTTGCCAGGTGTGGTGGCGTATGCCTGTAGTCCTGGCACTTGGGAGGCAGAGGCAGGTAGAGCTCTGTGACTTCTAGATCAGCCTGGTCTATATGGTGAATTCCAGGCCAGCTGGGGCTACAGGGAGACCCTGTTTCAAAGAAAGACAATACATACATATATATATATATATATATATATATACATATATACACATATATATATATACACACACATATATATATATACCTTTATCATGCCTCTATTAATATAGCAACTAACAGACAGTGTTAGCTATGTACCAGATACTGAACTAAGTTATATTCTTAACAAATTCACAAGAAAAGAACTATTACTATCCCGATGAGATAGGAAAGAAAACTGAGGCAGAGAGGTTTTGCTCAAGGTCATGCTTAACAAGGTCATGGACAGTGGCTGGAGAGATGGCTCAGAAGTTAAGAGCAATGGCTGCTCTTCCAGATGACAGGAGTTTAGTTCCAGCACCCACTTTGGGTGGCTCACAACTGCCTGGTACTCCAGCTCCAGGGGATCCAACACACTCTTCTGGCCTCCTAGGGTGGGCACACACACACACACACACACACACACACACACAAAATAAATCTTATTTTAAAAGTCATGGACAGTGTATAGCAAAGCACAGACTTTGACCTGGCTTTTTTTCCCCAGTGCTGGAATCAAAGCACGAAACTCGCTCAGGCCAGGCAAGCAAACCACCACTGTCTACACCATGGCCTAATCTGTGTTCTCAACCACCACACTCTACAGCCCAGGCTGTCCTTGAACTTGTGATCCTCAGCCTCTCAAGTAGCTGGGATAACAGGCCTGAACCACAAGACCCAGCTTAACAACTTACTCTGTTATGTTCCAAACAAACCGACTACATAATCAGTCAGGAGATCTGCTGAGTGTCTATTTATCTGTCTGTCTGTCTATCTATCTATCTGTCTGTCTGTCTACCTATGTTTTTTGAGACAGGGTCTGACTATGTAGCCTTGGAAATCACTAAGTAAGCAGGCTGGAGTGACCTCAAACTCACAGAGATCCACCTGCTTTTGCCTGCCTCTGTGTCTGCTGGGATTAAAGTTGTGCACTAGCACACCTGGTCCTGAGTGCCTATCATTATTATTATTATTATCATCATCACCATTATTATTTGTCTCCCTGTAGCTCCAGCTGGCCTGAAACTCACTATGTAGACCAGGCTGGCTTCGATCTCGTAAAGATCCACCTGCATCTGCTTCCTGAGTGCTAGATTTAAAGGCATAGGTCACTACGCTTGGCTTAATTTTTTAATTTCTTTTTATTTTATGTGTATGAGTGTTTTGCTTGCATGATGTAAGTGCACCTATGTTATGCAATGCCCACGGAGGACAGAAGAGTGTGTTGAGTCCTCTGGAATTGGAATTACAGACCACGCTTAGCCTCCATGTGAGTGCTGTGAACTAAACCCCGGTCCTCTGCAAGAGCAGTCACTGCCCTTAATTGCTGAGCCTTCTCTCCAGCCCCGATTGCCTCTTCTTATCTTCAAAGCATTTATATTCCAGAGAGGGAGGGTAGAGAGAGGAAAAAAGACACTCAAACTAATCAAATGAATGTATAAAACACTTGTTTAAACACTATGAAGAAATTTGAATACTTGACACACAGGAAAGTTTAGTCCTGCCAGGCATGGTGGCACAGTCCTATAATTCTATCACTTGGGTGCTCTGAGGCAGGAGGATCAGTTCTGCACCAGCCTGGACAATAGTGTGATCCTGTCTCAAAACAAACAAACTGGGCATGGTGGTACATGCCTGAATCCCTGCACTCAGGAGACCGAGGCAGGAGGACTGCTGTGAGCTCGTGGTCAGCTTGGGCTAAAGAGTTAGGCCCCATATCAGTACATACACACACATTCATGCGCGTGTGCACATTTGTGCACACACACATACATCTGCCAGAGCAATAACCCTACTTTGAGGCTGTCCTGTGCAAAACAGAATGTGTAACTAACTATCTCTGGCCTTTATATACCAATTGCTAGTAGCAACATCACCCCAATAGTGATAACAAAAATGTTTTCAACTACGGCCTAATATCCATTAGAAGACAACACTGTCCCCACTGAAGAACCACTAGTCTGGGTAACTTGGGTTCTTGCTTGGCTCGGTCATTTTCTGGTGACTATTAAACAATCATTTCAGGGACTGGCTCAGCAGTTAAGAGCAATGGCTGCTCTTGTAGAGGACTCCGGTTCAAGTCCCAGCACCCACATGGCAGCTAACAACCATCCTAACTCCAGTTCCAGGGGATCCTCTTCTGTCCTCTGTGGGCATTGCACAACATGAGTGTACTTACATACATGCAAGCAAAACACTCATACACATTAAAAAAAAAAAAAAAAGCTGGACATGGTGGCACATGCCTTTAATCCCAGCACTTGGGAGGCAGAGGCAGGCGGACCTCTTTGAGTTCAAGACCAGCCAGGTCTACATAGTGAGTTCCAGGCCAGCTGAGCCTACAGGGAGACCCTGTCTCAAAAACATGAAAATAAACAAACAAAAAATATTTTGCTCAGTGGTTAAGAACACTGTTGCAGAAGACCCAGATTCGAATCCCAGCACCCACATGGCAGCTAACAACTGTCTGTAACTCCAGTTCCGGGGGATCCAACAGCCTCTTCTATCCTCTGTGGGCATTGTACGACATGGGTGCACTTACCTACATGCAGACAATACACATATACACATTAAAAATAATAAACAGGGGCTGGAGAGATGGCTCAGATGTCAAGAGCACTGACTGCTCTTGCAGAGGACCCTGGTTCAATTCCCAGTACCCATATGGCAGCTAACAAGCATCTGGAACTCCAGTTCCAGGGGATCCAACACCCTCATCTGGCCTCCTCAGGACTCATATACATGCAGGCAATATACTCATACACACAAAATAAAAATAATAAATAAAAATATTTTTAAAAATAAAATAAAATACTTAAAAAAAAAAACAAACAAAAAAACCCAACTGGGCATGGTGGTGCATGCCTTTAATTCCAACACTTGGGAGGCAGACAGGTGGATCTCTGTGAGTGTGAAGCTAGCCTAGTCTACACAGTGAGTTCCAGGTCAGCTGGGGCTACAGGGAGACACTGTTTCAGGCCAAAAAAAAAAAAAAAAAAAAAAAAAAAAAAAAAAAAGCCAATCCCCTCACCCTGGGCATGGTAACCCAACGAGAAAGCAAAAGCAGGAGGATGACCACAGATTGAACACTAATCTGGTCTACAGTGTTAATTCTAGGCCAACCAAGGCTACATAGTGAGACTCTGTCTCAACACCCTTTGCGAAAAAAGCCATGTTCTTCTTCATGGACCAAGTTACCATCAGGGCACAAATGTTCTTTAAAGTTCCTTCCAGTTTTGCCATTTAAAGAATTGGAAGGGCCAGCAGGTAAAGGTGCCTGTTTGCCAAGACTGATGATCTGAGTTTGATTCCCAAGACCCACATGGTTGACAGAAAAACCTGATTCTCCAAAGTTGTCCTCTGACCTGCACATATGCACCATGGCACCTGTGTGATCACATACATACAAATAAGTGTTTAAACAAAAGGAAAGTGAGCTGGGCATGGTGGCACACACCTTTAATCCCAGCACTCAGGAGGCAGAGGCAGGCAGATCTCTGTGAGTTCAAGGCCAGCCTGGTCTACATAGTGAGTTCTAGGACAGCTGGGGCTACAGGGAGACCCTGTCTCAAAAAGACCCTCCCCAGCACCCACATGACAGCTGACAACTGTCTGTAACTCCAGTTCCAGGGGATCTGACAGTCTCTTCTGTCCTCCGAAGGCATTGCACGACATGGGTGCACTTACCTACTGGCAGGCAATACACACATACACATTAAAAAAAAAAAGACCCCCCCCCAAAAAAGGGAAGTAATAAAGTCCTATTTTTATGAGGTCAGCAAAGTAAAATAGATTAGGGCAATTGAAATGTATTGAAATATAATTACATTTATATATGGCTGATCAAAAGTTCACCTCTTGCTACTCACCTGGATTCAAGACTTGTAGACAATTTCTATTTCCTGACTGGTCAGCACCTCCAAACACCCAGATGCTGTGAGGAGTGCAGAAGGGAATGAAGCTGGCATGCTCATACCGGGGCAAGAGGCCCTCCCTGGTGGCTGAGTCCCACTGGTGTGTTCCTAGAAAACATTTGCCCAGTCGTCCTTAGATTGGAGCTACCAACTGCTTATCATAGCTGACAAACTTGGGGATGGCAGTGAAGGCCAAGATCATAAATGACCAACAACCACACCCTTAATGGGAACATGATCACTTCATGACGTTTTCTAGTAGATGCTCTGGAGCTGTCTGCCTTGCCCATGAGCCCTCTTCCATGTAAACTGTCCCTACTCTTCCTCCCAACCACATAGAGAATGCCCAGGTGACATATCTGTATGACACTGTGACTTTTTAGTTTGAGTTAATTAATAGGACTAGAGGTAGCCACTTTACCCAAATGGGCCACTTGGATCCACTGTTTCTACTCTCTGGTAAGCCTGAACTGTTATTTCTTACCTTTCAATTTTGTAAAACACCCCTGCTATTTGTATGAATCTCAATTTCTCTTTCGTCCTCTCTCCTGTTTTGTTTTGTTTTGTTTTTTTTGGTCTTTTTGAGACAGGATCTCCCTGTAGCCCAGCTGTCCTGGAATTCACTATATAAACCAGGCTGGCCTTGAACTCACAGTGATCTGCCTGCCTCTGCCTCCCAAGTGCTGGGATTAAAGGCATGTGCTACCAGGCTGGGCTCCTCGCTCCTGTTTTAAGTGACCCAACTTATGGGGCTGGAGAGATGGCTCAGTGATTAAGAACACTGACTGTTCTTGCAGAAGACCCAGGTTCAAATCCCTGCACCCACGTGGGAGCTAATAACTGTCCATAACTCCAGTTCCAGGGGATCCGACAGCTTCTTCTGTCCTCTGAGGGCACTGCACGACATGGGTGCACTCACCTATATGTAGGCAATACACACAATCATGTAAAATAAAAATAATAATAAAGTATTTTTAAGTGACCCAACTTAGTGATCTCTGGCAAAAACAGAATAATAATGCCTAACCAAACAGTTATTTTGGTTAACAATCTAGTAATATAGGAACTTCACACCTGTAAGCTAATTAAGACTGTTTAGTGGAGAAGTTTGTGTCTGTCATGGTTGGCTTCAGCTGTCAGCTTGACACACCTGGGAAGAAGGAACCTCAATTGGGGGATTTTCTCTATTGGACTGGCCTATGGCCATGTCTGTGTGGCATTTTCTGGATTATTGAGTGATGTGAGATGGCCCAGGCCACTGTGGGTGGTGCCATCCCTGGGCAGGTGGTCTTGGGCCATATAAGAAAGCAGGCTGAACACAAGCCCGAGAAGCAAGCCAGTAAGCAACATTCCTCCATGGTCTGTTCTTCATTTCCTGCCTCCAGGTTCCTGCTTTGAGTTTCTCCCCTGACTTCCATCAAGGATGAAAAGTGATGGAGACATGTAAGCCAAATCACCCTTTTATCCCCAGGTTGGTTTTGATCAGGGTGTTTTATCATAGTAACATAGAAAACTAACTCAAACAGTATCTCTGCTTACTAGGAAAGTGTGGTCCAAATGGCTTTGCCAGGGTCACAACGGTATTAATAGTTTGCAGCAAAGAGGTAACTGAAGCTGCTATGGTGGTGCAAGCCTGGAATCCTAGTACTTGGAAAATGGAGGCAGATGGATTTTGAGTCACAGGCCAGCTTGGGCTACACAGGGGATTCTAGGCTAGAATGGGCTACATAGCAAGATGAGATCCCAGACAGACAGATGGACAGACAGATGACATAACCGAGATAGAGGGTAAGCTCTTTGAGGACTGAAAGAGATTCAATGTAACTTTGATTGTCTAAAGGTAGTAGTAGAAATTCAAGTGCCTAGACAGGAGCAGAGATGGTGGTAATTCACAGGATGAGGGCCCCAATGAGGGCCCCATCAACAGGTGGCAGCTCAGCTCTAAACAACTGTTGCCCTGTAGACATGCAAACCTACTGATGCCAGACCTTCTAAAACCATCACAAGAAGCCAGGCTATATCAATTAAGAAACTTTTTCATTATATTTTATTTAGATGGGCACATTGTGTGTGGAGGTCAGAGGACAACTTGTAGGAATGAGTTTTCTCCTTCTACCATGGGGGTCCTGAGATCTAAAATAGGTTGTGTGGCTTGGGAGCAGGCACCTTTACCCACTGATCCATCTTACCAGCCCTATTTTTGATGTTTTAATTTTAAATCCTTTATAAACCAAGTGTGCATACAAAAATTGACAAAGCTGGGGCTGGAGAGATGTCTTAGAGGTTAAGAATGCTTGCTGCTTTTACAAAGGGCCAGCATTTGACTCCTGGCACTCATACTGGGCACAACCACCAGTAACTTTAGCTCCAGGGGAGCCAATACCTCTGGCCTTCTGGGCACAGGCACGCAGGTGCTTATACTCACACACAGATCCCCCCCAATAATTAAAAATAACAAATATTTTTAAAAATCGACATAGTTGTTTTCTGACCTCCACATGTGTGCCACAGCATGGGTGCAAACAAGTGCACATATACACAACATAAATAAGTATAATAAAAATATTAAAACAGAAGTGTAACATGGCCATAACCAAACACACATATGGGCCATCAGTTTTCAACTCCTGCCTTTCATACTGCAGTGCAGCATATAATATTCACTTGTTCCTGACTTCATTTGTTCTTCTAGTCACTCATCTAAGTACAAAGTACCTGTTCTCACTACAAGCTCTGGGAGTGGCTAGGGATGCCATTAGGAGTAAAACAGCCATGTTCTCTGTTTCCAAAGTTAAGGTTAAATATGGGGAAGACAGGAAATAGTCACATGTGCTAAGTCTGTGAAGGGGGAAATGGAAAATGAGACTATAGATACAGAGGAAGGTCACGTCTCAACTAGTCTGGAGGTAGCAGAGAAAGCTTCCAGACCAAAAGGAACACAGAGTCTGTGATCTGTGGCCAGATGGCAAAAAAAGAGAGGAGCCTCTCAAGTAGAGGGAACAATCTGAGTAGTGGCTTGGAGGCCAGAGAGTTCAAGTTCAGGCTGTGTTCAAGGAACCGAAGGTTATATTCAGTGCAGCAAATATGGGCTGGGAGAGCCAACGCATGAGGCTGAGAAAGGGAGTAAGAGGATGGGGATATAGCTCAGTGGGTAGAGCACTGGCCTAACAAACATGGAACCCAGGGTTCAACCCCCTGACCAAAGCAGGTGAAGTGGCACACATCTGTAATATAACACTTGGAAGGTGGAGGCAGGAGGATCAGTAGTTCAAAGTCATCCTTAGCTACACAGGGAATTCAAGTTCAGTCTGGGCTACACGATACTATCTCAAAATAAATAATGAACATGATTATTCACTGATGCCTCCTAGAGGAAGTTGATAAATAAAAGAAAGCATGGATGGCTAGGGCTCCAAACAGACTCTTCCCCAAACAAAGATGTGTTAAATAGGTGTGTGTGTGCTGGGGTTTGCTGAGACCTTAGGGTCCAGTCAGTGAAGTTTCTTTCCTTAGAGAAAAACTCTGCTGTCTGGTCTGAGCAGTTATTTTTTAGAAATGTTCTGCTCATGGCTAACAGCTCAAAGCAAGTCATGTTCTGCAGCTGTTGATCTTACCCAAATCCATGATGTGTACATCTGAGAAGCTTTGGTTTGGATTTGCTCCCCCAACAATGAAGACTTTTCCTCTCTTGGCATCACCAACTGGGGGTAAATATGAGCAGCTGTGGCCAACTCGAGGGCAGGGTCTGTCTCCAGGAGCAGTCAAAGTGTACCTGCCAAAGGGAAGATTTATTCAGAAGGCCTGTGCAAGGAATAAAAGTACACTATATTCTTCGATTCCTCATAAAATAGTCATTAGGCTGAAGGGCTGGGTACATACATTGACGCTTTAAATTATATTTATAGCTGGTCGTGGTGGTGCATGCCTTTAATCCCAGCACTTGGGAGGCAGAGGGCAGGCAGATCTCTGTGAGTTTAAGGCCAGCCTGGTCTACATAGTGAGTTCCAAGCCAGTCCCACTACAGGGAGACCCTGTCTCAGAAAGAACAAAAAATAAATAAATACAAATATAATTAGCTGGGTGTGGTGGCACACGCCTTTAATCCCAGCACTCTGGAGGCAGAGGCAGGCAGATCTCTGTAAATTTTCGGCCAGCCTGGTCTCCATGGTCTTTTTGAGAGGGTCTCCCTGTAGCCCCAGCTGTCCTGGAACTCACTATGTAGACCAGGCTGGCCTTGAACTTACAGAGATCTGCCTGCCCTGCTTCCCAAGTGCTGGGATTAAAGGCATGTGCTACCACGCCCAGCGGTGGTAAACATCTTTAATTTCAATTAATTTTAATTTAATTTAATTTTCACCTTTAATTTCAGGAGTCAGAGGCAGGCAGATCTGTGGGTTTGAGGCTAGCCTAGTCTACAGAGCAAGTTCCAGGCCAGTCAAGGCTTCCTAGTAGGACCCTGTCTCATATAGATAGATACATAGATAATAGATTGATAGATAGATAGACAGACAGATAGATAGATCCCTAAGGAATATCATGAGCATATGTGATGGGTCTGGAGCAAGATGGACAGAGGCAAGTGAGCAGAGAGACTCTCTTGAAGATTCTGTGAACACACTGGACCTCTCTATAGCCTTCTGTGAGCCCCTCAGTGCTGATCACACTTCCTCACCATCACCTGCTTGGTCTCTACCTCGCTATACAGCAACTGGTTGCCTTTGGACCTCAAGTGCCTATATAGCAGCAGCCATTGAAGGCCAGTGTGAACTGTTAAACGAAGGGTTATGACTTGTTAAATGAAGGGTTAAACAAACACTGAAATTAGGATAATCCAAATTTATCTTCCTAAAACCCTAAGAATGAATCACAGCTCAGGGGAAGACAGAGCACTGGAGCTGAGGATGCCAGATGGCCAGTGTTTTCCTCCTCCTAGTAGCTGGATTTTAATCAAATTAACATCTGCTCTGTGATAATTATTGTCCCCCTATCTTTCCTCTGAAGGCCTTCCCTGACAGTTTGAATCTAATTACCTGAAATTGAACATAGTTTCATTGCTACCCCTTTTGGTTGATAATCAAATATGTTAGTAAACTATTTAAATGAAACAAAAACTTGTGTTTTTTGTGTCTGAATCCTTCCTTACAGACCAAGTGGCTTTCCTGGGCTTGTCTCCAGGCTCCAAGACTGGCAGCTGCTTCATGATGCCCTATATAGAAGAAAGAAGAGAGTGTTTAGACATGTATGATTATTTTCTTCCTAAAACAGAACAAATGAGGCCACATCCCTCTATGAAACCTTCCCTACTGGACTGTAGATGCAGCTCAGTGGTAGAGCACTTGCCTAGAACGTACAAGGCCCTGGGTTTGAGTGCCTAAACAAGTAAATAAACCTTCCCCATTGAATGTACCAATTTCTAAGGCCTGATAAATTTGAATAAGCATCACCAACCTTTTGAGATAACTGTTGTTTTTTTATAATTTATTTTTATTATTTATTTATTTACTTATTTATTTTTGGTCTTTTTGAGACAGGGTCTCCCTGTAGCTCCAGCTGGCCTGGAACTCACTATGTAGATCAGGCTGGTCTTGAACTCACAGAGATCAGCCTGCCTCTGCCTCCTGAATGTTGGGACTAAAGGTGTGTGCTACCATCCTCGGCTTGATTTATTTTTTAATATTTTATTATTTTTATTTGACACACATGTATGCAGGTTAAGTGCTCCCATGTTGTGCAATGCCTGTGGAGGTCTGAAAAGGGAATTAGATGCCCTGGAATTGGAGTTACAGACAGTTGTTAGCAGCCATTTGGGTGCTGGGAACCAAACCAGGGTCCTCTGCACGAGCAGCCAGTGCCTTTAACTGCTGAGCCATCTCTCCAGTCCCCTTGTTTTTATTTTTGAAACAAGATCTCATGTTGCCCAGGCTGACTTACAAATCTGGATGGTCTTCCTGCCTCAGCTTCCTTAGTACTAGAATTACAGCCACCATGCTAAGCTTTCTTTTATATATATATATATATATAATTTTTTTCTCCCCCAGTGCTGAGGGTCATCCCCAGGGCCCTGTGCATACTAGGTGTCTACTTCTTAGCTATATCCCATCCCTTAACACAACAGAGCCCATGCTGGGTTTTATGGTGTGCTGGGGACAGAACCCAGGGATATGTGCAAATTGGGTAGGTACTCTATCTATTGAACTATGGCTCAGACCCCTGAATGTAACTCCTATTTAAAAGTCTCTAATCTAGCTAGACATGGTAGTGCACTGCAACTGGAATCCTGGCACTCAGGAAGCTGAGGCAGGAAGACCTCTAGTTGGAGGCCAGTTTGGGTTACGATGAGACCGTCTCAGAACAGGATCAACAGAAAGCTCTCTACACTAGAATCTAAAATTCTAGTGTATTAGGCCTTCAGATTCATTCTGAGAACTTACTAATGGATCCGGAAGTAGCAGAAGTAAGGGATGAATGAATGAAAAAAGGAATTAAAGGAACGATGCAGGGGTGCGCACCACCTGCGACCTAGGATAAGGACGCAGTGCCAGAGCCCTGCCTCAATGGGGCGGGCTTCGCCTGAGCCCGGCCCTCCTCCAGCCCCCCCCGCCATGGCATCCCCTCCCCCAGTCCATCTCCTCGTGATAGAAGTCAGGGTCAGGAGAGAAACGGCTGGCTGCTTTCTGCCCATGTGGCCCGGTCGGACGCAGCCCTCTCCACCTGGCTCAGGCCCACTCGGTGGGCCCTCCACACCGCGCCCGGACCCGGGGCTCAGAGGCTTCCAGGCCAGTACCAAATACCTGCGGCCGCTAAGGACGGTCCCGGGCGTGTGTCTACCCATAAGGGGTGGGGCCTAACATTCGCCCCTCCCCCAGGCCCGGAAGCGCGTCGGGGCTAACCACTCTGTACCTCCCAGTTCCTCCCACACCTGCACCCGTCCGCTGCAGAGAAAACGAGTCAGGGGAGCCTGGAGCCCAGCGCTTCGGGTTGGCGTCCGCTTAATGACCCAAATTCCTCTTGCAGCTAGTCCATCCTTAAGGGGCTAAGGGAGTTGGTACATTGTTAGCCATGACTTCAGAAGGGGAGGCGTGGCCTGGAACGTTTCACTATGTAGCCCAAGCTGGCCTTGAATTCTGCTTTAGCCTCCTGAGTAGCTGGGGTGACCTGCAGGCTCCTCCTGGCTAGGTTTGGCCTGTGCAGGCTTGAGGCTGGTACTATTGCGCTTTAAGTGGTCATTTTCATAATTACTGTTTGTGGTTACAGCGGGTTCCAGACCACTTAAAGGTTCAGCAGAGAGATAAAATAAGAAAAAATAGTAGGTCCTGTTGTAGAGGGTGCAGAGAATAAAAAGTTCACCAATGAGACTACATGTTCTTGAAGAAGTTAATAGTATTTTCTCTGGTCATCTTCTGTGTGGAACACAGAGCTCCTAAGATTTATGGGGGGCTGTGGTGGGGTCCCAGTACCTGTTCCAGAGCTCCAAAAATGGAGATTTGGCTCACCTCTGTGTGATCAGAGTACTTCACTCTGAAAGTCACTACCCTAGGAATCGGGAACTGAGCCCTGAAATAATAAAGCTGCTGTACCTTACTGGGGAGAGGGCAGCCAGGCTTAGCTTCAAATCCAGGCTCCACCACTAAACAAGGAACTTTGACAGTCCATCACCGTCTGAACCCTAGTTGACACACATCTATAATGGAGAGAGATATCGGCAAAGAGCTGTTGAATCTACTAGTATGAGTGAAAGGCCAATTTGTGTTTTTTTTTCAATTTTTAAAAATACTTATTTTTATTGTATGTGTATGTGTATACTGCCTGCATGTATGTGAATGAACCAGTGTCATCCAATGCCGTGGAGGTCAGAAGAGGGCTTTGCATTCCCCTGGAACTGGAGTTAAGGATGGTTTGTAGCAACCGTGTGGGTGCTGGGAATTGAACCCAGGTCCTCTGCAAGAGCAATCAGTGCTCTTACCCGTCTTAACTGCTGAGCCATCTCTCCAGCCCCCCAATTTTTTTTTGTCTTTTTTGAGACAGGGTCTCCCTGGAGTCCCAGCTGACCTGAACTCACTATGTAGACCATGCTGGCCTTGAACTCACAGAGATCCACCTCCACCTGCCTCTACCTACCTAGTGCTGGGATTATAGGTATGCGCCACCATGCCTGGCTTTTTATTTTTTAATTTTTGTCTTTTGAGACAGGGTCTCCCTGTAGCCTCAGCTGGCCTGGAACTTGCCATGCACACCAGGCTGGCCTCAAACTCACAGAGGTCTGCCTGCCTCTGCCTTTCAAGTGCTGGGATTAAAGGCGTGTACCACCACAGCTGTTCTACTTTTTCAAAAAATATTTATTATTTCATGTGTGTGAGTATATTGCTTGTATGTAAATGTATCCATGTTGCCCAAATGCCCTTGGAAGTCAGAAGATCCCCTGGAACTGGAATTGTGGACATTTGTTATCCACCATGTATGTAGGTGCTGGAAATTGAACCTGGGTCCTCTGCAAGAGCAGCTAGTGCTCTTAACTGCTGAGTCAATCTCTCCAGCAACCCCAGAGTATACTTTTAAAACAAGTTAGATCAAGCAAGGCATATGGTAAAGGCCTGTTATCCCAAAACTTGTATATGTGGAACACACCTATTATCCTCAAACTCAGGATGTGCAGTCAGGAAGATCAGAAGTTCAAGGCCAGTCTTGGTTACATAGCAATTTCCAGGCCAGCCTATGTTAAATGAAACACTGTCTGATAAAATCAAAACCAAACCAAACCAAAACAAAATACCAAACAAAACCAGTCAACCATCCAAACCAAACCACGCCAAATAAAAGGAAACCCCAACAAGTTTTTATCATTTTACATTTTTGTTTAAAACCAGGCAACAGTTGCCCATTACCTCAAAAGTAAAGAAAGAAATCAATGTATTCCTTTTGTCTGATCTCCAGCCAGTCTAGTATTGATCTTCTTCAAAGTCCCTCGATATGCTTAGGATCTCTTCATTAGCTTGCCCTTATAACTTTCCACAAGTAACACCTTGCACAGCTAACCACCTGCCAATTTTGCTCCATTTTTTGTGTTTGTTTTTGTTTTGAGACTGTTTTTGTTTTGGCCTGGAACTTGGTATGTAGACCAGGCTGGCCTCAAACTCTCAGAGATCTACCTGCTGTGCTTCAAAAGTGCTGGGATTAAAGACATCTGCTGTTACCCCATCTTCCTTACTATGCTGGGATGTTTACCTTAGCAGGTATTTCTTTCTTTTTTGGTCTTTTTGAGACAGGGTCTCCCTGCAGCCCCAGCTGTCCTGGAACTCACTATGTAGACCAGGCTGTCCTTGAACTCACAGAGATCCACCTGCCTCTGCCTCCCAAGTGCTGGGATTAAAGGCGTGCGCCACGACGCCCGCCTTTTTTTTTTGAGACAGTGTTGGTCTCCTTGTAGCCCAGCTGTCCTGGAACTCTGGCCTCAAACTCACAGAGAGCCACCTGCCTCTGCCTCCCAAGTGTTGGGATTAAAGGCGGGCTAGGTATTGCTTTCTAATATGCTATAAGTCATTTATCATATTTATTGTTTATGTCTTGTCTCTCTCTAGCAGAAGTAGATCACAGGTTGAGGATAGAGGTTTTTGTCTATTTTCGTCATATTTCAAGTGCCTACAATTGTTATCTGACAATTGCTATTCAATAAACAGTTGTCAAATGAATCAATGTTAAAAAGCTGTATTAGGTGTCAGGAACTGTTCTTGACACCGAGATACGTCAAACAAAACAAAACACATTGCCCCCCCCCCCCCCCCCAAAGAAAGCCTTCCTGATCTCCTGGGACTCACGTGCTTAAATCAGTAACCTGTCTTCCAGTCTAGGTTCTTTTTTGTTTTCTGTCAGATCTCGGGCAAGTAACTTAACACGTGTACAAGCCTTGCATTCCTAAGTCTTAGGAGAATTGCATAGGAAAAATAAAAGTCTGGTATTTGTACATAATTTAGCATAAGAAATCTAGGCCAGGTCTTGGAAAGGAGGTTACAAGTTACCGTACTTTTACTGAAGATGTTGGTAGAGGGCTTTACATAGTAGGAATGGGAGCCAGGGAATGCCTAGTTTCCCTGAAGTGAAGTCTGTTGACTAGGAAGGCTAGCGAAAGATTAGTCGGCTACACTAAAACTACAAGTCCCAGTACCCTCCGCGGCAGAAAGCTACGGGTTCCAGCAGGTTTCCCTCGCAGAACGGCTGGGGTCTCTTAGGGACCTGCGGCCCGGAGTTTAGTCTGATAGGGCGTGGGGCGTGTCAAAGGCGGCCGAGAGAAGCGAGTCTGGCTTTGTCGTCGCTGCGCAGACGCCACTCACGGGCCGGATGTGACGTAGGGAGAGTTCCGGCTTCGGCCTCCGCCGCTGCCTTCGCTACTCCAGCCGTCGCCTCCGCTGTCGCCGCCGCCGCTGTCGCGGCTTGTGATTCCTAAAATGGCTCCGCTGGATCTGGACAAGTATGTGGAGATAGCGCGGCTGTGCAAGTACCTTCCCGAGAACGACCTGAAGGTGAGCAGGGCCGGAGGGAGTCCTGCCTACGGGGCAAGCCCCTTCCGGCTGTAGGGCGCCCGCCGGCCCTCCCTTCTCCCTAAGCGGGACTCCTGCGGCTGTCCGATCCCAGCGTTGCGGAGAGCGCCCTGCGGGGTAGGCGACCGCGTCGGACTCGGCGTGACGCGGGGCAGCGGGCGAGCCGGAGTTCCCCTGAATGCTGCGTGGGCTCCGTGAAGGCAGATCCCGAGGGAGGTCGCGGCCTGCGTACTCGGGTCGCCGCCGCTGACCCCCTCAGGCCTCGGAGCCCCTGCAGCTTTGCTCACAACTTCTCTTCCTCCACGCCGGGTCACCGGGAGACCGAGCCCCCGAGCCCCCCGGGGATGGCATGGGGAGTGGCATCAGAGGTGACAGGAGCGAGGCTGGCCTGGCGTCTGATAGGGGGTGCTGCCTGCCTCGGGGACGCGGCCGCAGTGAGTTTTGGTGCCTGAAGGCGGTGGGCTGCATCGGTGTGGCAGTGATGGGGGAAGAGTCATGTGTCAAGTCGCCTCCTCCAGATTGCTTATTAGCAGTGTTAGTTTTCTTCTGGTAATTGGGATGCGAATGAGTCGCTTGTCAATAAGTTCAAATATTTTTCTGACCTTTAAGCTATTCCCCCATAGCTCAAGATGTCATGTTCTTGCTTTTCCAAAGAAGACGATTTGCTCCCTATCCCCAAGTCCAAGGAAGAGTATTGAGGAATGAGTGCAAAGGGAGTAAACCGGTGGCATACTCCTCTTTTAAAGTGCATTTGAACTTTTACTAAAGCTGGTGCTTGTTAGGTACCTGTCAGTGTTTATCCGATGTCCTGATGTCGGTTTTAGTCTAAGTTATGTTTGATTTGTTAGGTAGTAAGTGCATAAACTCTCCATCATTTCAATTCTTTTTGTGCTATAAGCTATGGGCCAAAAAGAGTTTTTCTTTAAAGAAAAACTATCTTGCCAGTGAATTATTTCTCTTAGGGAAGATTTTGCGCTCTGTGTCATCCTGTCTCATTTGGTACAGGAAGTTGATATTTAACATGTCAAAAAGCATGCAAATTTAAGACTACATGTGTTGATGGTGTGAAAGTAAACAAATTGTTCTTGCATGTTAATTTCATATGTTACATGGTAGGTGTTCATGTTCATTCACTTGAAGTTTTCAGTCATTTGCCTCATGTTTCTGCTAGCTGCTGCTTTTGGGGATAGTTCATGCTGGCTTCACTATGAACCTGCACGTGACCTTGAACTTATGATCCTCTTTGCCTCCTCCTCTCCCAAGTGCTGCATCTTGTACTATCAAGCCTGGCTGCTCTGTGCTTTTTGTTTGTTGTTAATATTTTATTTTTATTTCTGTGTCTATGTGTGTGTTAGTGTACATACCTGCATGCTAGTGCTGGAGGGGACCAGAAGAGGATGCCTCTTTCCCTGGAGCTGGAGTTACAGGCAGTTGTTAGCCCCTGGATGTGAATGCTGAGAACTTAATTCTGGGTCCTATGCAAGACCAGCAAGTGCTCTTAATTCTCTAGCCCATTTTTTTTTAAGCCAAAACATTTATGACTGATCATTGATACCCTTGAGATAAACTGGGTGTTACAACAGTTGCTCTCTTGGGTTTAGGTGTTGTTCCTTCACAGAATCCAGATCTGAATTTGCGATAGACAATTTTTAGGTGCCTCATTCACCCGGTCCTGGTTGTGTTTCATCTCAGCCTTGGCACTCCAGTTCTCCTTTCTCCTGAGCTTGGCAGGTCAGCTACGTTTACCACAGGTAGACTTCTGAAGGTGGTGGGCCCGAGAGTCACAACAGTGACATAATGTATGTCTGCAACGCCTTCTGGAGGATGACATTCCCTTTGTCAACTTGATTCTGCTGCCAAGACCAAGGAACAGTTTTTGTTTTATTGATACAAAATCTCATGTAGCCCAGGCTGCCCTTGAACTTACTATGAAGCCAAAGCTGGCCTTGAACCCCAATCCTCCTGCTTCCACCTCTTGAGTGCTGGCATTGCAAGCATTCGCCAACACACCTGGCTCTTTTATAATTTATTTTTGAATTGTGTGTGTGTGTGTGTGTGTGTGTGTGTGTGTGTGTGTGTGTGTGTGTGTTAGAGAGAGAAAGAGACAGAGAGAATGAGAATGGGCTCTTATACATGAATAGAGTGCCTGCAGAGGCCAGAAGAGGGTATCAGATGGCCTGGAACTAGAGTTAAAGGCAATTATGAGCTTCCTGACATGGGTGGTGCTGGGAATTGAACTCTGGTCCTCTCCAACAGTAGTATGTGCTCTTAACCACTGAGCCATCTCTCCAGCTCCTGTTCTGTGCTTTAAAAAAAATCATTTATTATTTTTATTTTATGTGTGAGTATATTAACCTGCATGTGTCTATGTGCACCCATGTTGTGCAGTACCCACAGAGGTCAGAAGAGTGTGTCAGATTCCCTGGAACTGGAGATACAGATGGTTGTTAGCTGCCATATGGGTGCTGGGAATCAAACCTGGGTCCTTTGCAAGAGCAGCCAGTGCTCTTAACAGCTGAGCCATCTATCCAGCCTCCAGTTCTGTGCTTTTTAAGAAATAAGAATAAGGCTGGGCATGTTGACATAACTTTAATCCCAGCACTCCAGAGCCAGAGGCAGAGGCAGGTGGATCTTTGTGGATTTGTGTTCAGCATAGTCTATATAGTAAGTTCCAGGCCAGCCCAGGGCCACACAGTTGGGACCCCATTTAGGAAAGAAGGAAGGAAGAAAGGGAGGGAGGAAGGGAGGGTGGGAGGACCAAATGCCCTAATTTGTAGAAAAATACTAACCAGATTTCTTCCTGTTGGTAGCATTGTTAATTTCATGCATGAAGTCTATTGTATATCAAAGAGTTAATATGGAGCTTTCCTTTTTATACATAAAGCTATTTTATGCTTTATGCTTCTAATTAATATAAAAACTTCTTATTAGGAAAATGTCTTTTTCATCTTTATTTTTTATTCATTTATTTTCTGATACTGGGGTTGATCGTGGACCTTGCATATGCTGGGTAAGCCCTTTGCTACTGAGCTATATCCCCAACACTGAAAAATATGTCCTTTTAGGTGTGTCTTGTTCTGTAGAACAGTCTACCTTCAAACTTGTGTTGATTCTTTTGCCTGGTCTCCCAATTGCTGGGGATACTGGCATGTACCACCACTGCTGGCAGAAAGAAAGTTGTCTTGTTTTTTTTTGGTCTTTTTGAGACAAAATCTCCCTGTAGCCCCAGCTGACCTAGAACTTACTATGTAGACCAGGTTGGCCTTGAATTCACAGAGATCCATCTGCCTCTGCCTTCTGAGTGCTGGGATTAAAGGTGTACGTTAACAGACCAGCACCAACCTGTTAGTAGAATTTTTCCTTCCCATAACTTTTTGTTGACTACTGAGAAAAGAATTCTGGATTTTGAGATTTTTTTTTGTTTTCTCTCCTGGAAATTAAAAAAAATTTTTAAATTAATTTTTTTAATTAAAAAATATTTTATTTTTATTTTATGTGCATAAGTGTATTGCCTGCATATATGCAAGTGCACCTGTGTTGTGTAGTGCCCACAGAGGTTAGAAGAAGATGTTGTATCCTCTGGAGCTGGAATTATAGATAGTTGTTAGCCTACGTGTAGGTGCTGGATACTGAACCTGGTCCTCTGCAAGAACAGTCAGTGCTCTTAACTGCTGAGCCATCATTCTGTCTCCAGCCCCTGTCCTCAACAATTTTTAAGAATTAAAGTTTTTTTTATGTGAATGAGTGTTTTGCCTTCATGTATGTAAGTGTACTACATGTATGAAGTGCCCATAGAGGCCAGAAGCAGGTGTAGGATCCCCTGGAGCTGGAGTTAGAGACAATTATGAGCTGCCATGTGGGTGCTGGAAATTGAATCCAGGTCCTTTGCAAGAACTGCCAGTGCCCTTAGATACTGCGCCATCTCTTCAGATTAATTTGCTTGTGCTTCTGTAGTGCTTTTTCTGTTTGCTTGTTTGTTGAGACAGCATTTTTTAAAACTTTATTTTATGTGTATGCGTATTTTGTCTGCATGTATGTAAGTGTACCCACATGTGCAATGTCCATGGAGGTCAGAAGAAGGTGTTAGCTCCCCCAGAACTGGAGTTATGGACTGTTGTTAGCCACCATGTGGGTGCTGGGAGCCCAAACATGTTCCTTTGCAAGAGCAGCCAGTGCTCTTAACCACTGAGCCATCTCTTTAGCCCTGAGACAGCATTTTACCCTGTAGTCCAATCTTGCCTGAAAAATCACTGTGTAGTTCAAGCTAGCCTTGAACTAGCTTCAGTTGTAATTCTCCTGTCTCAGTCTTCTGAGTTTTGGGATTACAGATGTGGGTCAGCATGCCTAACTTTCTAGTATATTTGAGAATTTCAATTTTGTTTCTGTTCCTTAGCATGAAGTGCAAATTAATGACAATTAGGCCAAGGAAATATTCAAGGAAGTATTTTTTAAAAATATTTTATTACTTTTTAAATTTTTTTTTTAATGTGTGCGCATGTATTGCCTGCATGTAGGTAGGTGCACCCATGTCGTGCAATGCCCAAAGGGCAGAAGAGGCTGTTGGATCCCCTGGGACTGGAGTTACAGACAGTTGTTAGCGCCATGTGGGTGCTGGGATTTGAACCCAGGTTTTCTGCAAAAACAGTCAGCGTTCTTAACCACTGAGACATCTCTCCAGCCCCTCAAGGAAGAATTATTCTAGGAATACCTTTTGAGTTTTGTTTTGTTTTTGTTTTGTTTTGTTTTTTGTTTTTGACACAGGGTCTTCCTGTAGCCCTAGCTGGTGTGGAACTCACTATGGAGACCAGGCTAGCCTCTATCTCACAGAGATTCACCTGGTTTTTGAGGTTTGTTTTTTTTAAGGCCCTAATAAAAAAATTCTACCAGGGAAAGAAGGAAAATAATTGGAGGCATTTAATAACATACTAGAAAAGATTACATCTGGTAGAAAAGAAAACAAGTTTGTGTTCTAAAGATTTATTTATTATTTTTATTTTTAAAAATATTTTTATTATTTTTATCTTATGTGTATGAGCGTTATGTCTGCATGTAGGTAAGTGCACCCATGTTGTGCAATGCCCGAGGAAGACAGAAGAGGCTGTCAGATCCCCTGGAACTGAATAGTTGTGAGCTGCCACGTGGGTGCTGGGATTCGAACCCGGGTCTTCTGCAAGAACAGTCAGTGTTTTTAACTGCTGAGCCATCTCTCTAGCTCCCAATTTATTTATTATTGTACACGCCTTTAATCCCAGCACTCCGGAGGCGGAGGCAGGCGGATCTGTGTGAGTTCAAGACCAGCTTGGTCTATATAGTGAATTCCAGGCCAGCTGGAGCTACAGGGAGACTCATAAAGACCAAAAAAAAAAAAAAAAAGATTTACTTATTATTTTATAGGGTTTGTTGTTGTTGTTGTTGTTGTTAGCTGGCCTAGAATATCTGCAGCATTTTTCAGAATTGGTAGGTATTTTGATTTTATATTGTCCGTGGTGAGATTGCCATTTTACATAAATATGTAATACAAAATGACAGATCTATATTTAGGGCAACTTCAAAAATTGTTGGAAATTCTGTTTTAATCCCAAGCCAAAATTAATTTAGGGACTTTAAAAAATATTTTTTTTATTTTATATATATGAATGTTTGGTTGCATGTAAATTTATAGCATACATGCAATGCCCAAGGCAGCCAGAAGAGGCCACATACTCTGGAACCAGAGTTCCAGTTGGTTGTAAGCTGCCATGTGGGTGCTAGAAACTGAATCTGGTACTCTGTAAGAGCAGTAAGTGCTCTTAATGGCTCAGCCATCTCTCTAGCCCCTCATGATTTTTTAAAAAGTGGGTCTGAATCAGTCAGCAACTTAAACAACAATTTTTGTTTGTTTATTTTATTTAGTTTTACTTATTTTTCATTTCTTTGAGATAGGGTCCCACGTAGCCCAGGATGACTTCCAGCTGTGTAGTTGAGAATGACCTTGAACTCTTCATCCCTCTGCCCTCTACCTCCATAGTATTGGGATTCAGGGTCCACCACCATGCCTGGGTTATGTGGTGTTGGAAATTGAACCCAGGACTTTGCATTTGCTAGGTAGATACTCTGCCACCTGAGGTATTCCTTAGCTCTTCTATAACTATGTTCTAAACTTTATGCATTTACATTTATTTCTACACATTTACTTCTGTTTCACTGGTTTTTTTATTCCTTTACTAAATGAATTGTAGAAACTTTAGTATATACTTTAATAATGGGCATGTCTGTAACTTCCATTGTATTGTTTTTCAAAGTAAGTCTAGTAATTTTTTTTTGGGTCTTTTTGAGACAGAGTCTCCCTGTAGCCCCAGCTGTCCTGGAACTCACTATGTAGACCAGGCTGGCCTTGAACTCACAGAGATCCACCTGCCTCTGCCTCCCGAGTGCTGGGATTAAAGGTGTGCCATCATACCCAGCTTAATATTTTATGTGTATGAGTGTATTGCCTGCATGTATGTGAATGCACCTGTGTCATGTAATGCTGTGGAGGTCAGAAGAGGGTTTCGGGTTCTCCTGGAACTGGAGTTGAGGATGGTTGGTAGCCACCATGTGGGTGCTGGGAATCGACCCAAGTCCTCTTCGAGAGCAGTCAGTGCTCTTAACCCCTGAGCCTTCTCTCTAGCCCCATCTGCTAATTTTTTTTTTTTTTTTTTTGGTCTTTTTGAAACAGGGTCTCCCTGTAGCCCCAGCTGTCCTGGATTCACTATGGAGACCAGGCTGGCTTCGAACTCACAGAGATCCACCTGCTTCTGCCTCCTGAGTGCTGGGATTAAAGGCGTGCGCCACCACACCTGGCCCCATCTGCTAATTTTAAAAGTAAATTGTAGGGTTGGAAATGTGCATCAGTTGATAGAGTACTTGCATTGTGTGCACAAAGCCTTGGGTTCCATCCCCAGCATTACATAAATTGCTCATGGTGGCCTGAGCCGCATAAGATCCTGCTTCAAACAAAACAAACAGAACAAAAATAAAATTAATAAGTAAAAACCTTTTACTGCCTTTTACTAGTGGTTCATTCCTGTTATCCTAGTTATTCTTGAAGCTGAGGCAGCAGGTTCACAAGTTCAAGGCCAGCTTGAGCAACTCAAACCTCATCTCAAAAACATACAAAGGACTTGAGATGTAGCTCGGTAGTCCTGGGATCAATCCCTAGTACCACAAACAGATAAACTTTACCTTTTAACATTATTTATTCTGCATTTATTTTCTGTGAAAAGCTTTATTTACAGTTGTAAAGACTATCTTCTTGAACCTGTTCACAAGTTCAAGGCCAGCTTGAGCAACTCAAACCTCATCTCAAAAACATACAAAGGACTTGAGATGTAGCTCGGTAGTCCTGGGATCAATCCCTAGTACCACAAACAGATAAACTTTACCTTTTAACATTATTTATTCTGCATTTATTTTCTGTGAAAAGCTTTATTTACAGTTGTAAAGACTATCTTCTTGAACCTGTTGCTTGTATAGCCAGGGAATTTGCA